ACACCGTTCTATCTTCTACATCCATGAGTCTAACTTACTTAGATTCCATATATAAGTGAGATCATCGGGTATGGTGCCTCACACCTGTAATTCACCACTCTGAGAGGCCAAGGTTGGGGGATTGCTTGAGCCCAGGAGTTCGAGGTTACATTGAGCTGTCCATGTTTGCCCATTTTTTAATGGGTTTGTTTTTTACTTTCTGAGTTAAGTTCCCTAGAGATTCTGAATATTAGACCCTTATCAGATGCTCAATTTGTGAATATTTTGTCCCATTCTATAGGTTGCCTGTTGACTCTGTTGATAGTTTCTTTGGCTGTGCAGAATCTTTTTGTTTTGTTTTGTTTTTTTAGATGGAGTCTCACTTTGTTACACAGGCTGGATTATAGTGGCACAATCTTGGCTCTCTTCCACCTCTGTCTCCTGGGTTCAAGTGATTCTCCTGCCTCAGCCTCCTGAGTAGCTGGAATTACAGCCATGCATCACCACGCCCAGCTAATTGTATTTTTAGTAAAGACAGGGTTTCACCATGTTGGCCAGGCTGGTCTTGAACTCCTGATTTCAAGTGATTTGTCCACCTCAGCCTTCCAAAGTGTTGGGATTACAGGTGTGAATCACCGTGTCCAACCTGTGCAGAAGCTCTTTTGTTTAATTAGGTCCTATTTGTCAATTTTTGTTTTTGTTGCAATTGCCTTTGAGGACCACATAAATTCTTTCCCCAAACCAACACTGATGTCTAGAATAGTGTTTCCTGGTTTTCTTCTAGGACTCCTATAGTTTTGGGTCTTACAGCTAAGGCGAGTTGATTTTTAGGCATGGTGAGAGGTAGGGGTCCACTTTCATTCTTCTACATATGGCTAGCCAGCTATCCCAGTGCCATTTATTGAATAGGGAGTCTTTACCCCATTATTTATTCTTGTCAACTTTTGTTGAAGATCAGTTGGCCGTGGGTGTGTGGCTTCCTTTCTGGTTTCTCTTTTCTGTTCCTTGGGTCTCTATTCTGTTTTTGTACCAATACCACGCTAATTTGGTTATTATAGCTTTAAAATATAGGTTGAAGTCAGATAATGTGATGCCACTGGCTTTGTTCTTTTTCCACCAGATTGCTTTGGCTATTCAGGCTCTTTCCTGACTCCATATAAGTTTTAGAATATGTTTTTCTAGTTCTGTGAAAAATGGCATTGGTAGTGTTATAACACTGAATCTGTTGATTGCTTCGGGCAGTGTGGCCATTTTAATCATATTGCTCCTTCTCATCCATGAGCATGAAATGTTTTTCCCTTTTTTTTTTAATGCCGAGATTCCTTTTGTGTTTTTATTTTTTTGAGACAGAATCTTGCTCTGTTGCCCAGGCTAGAGTGCAGTGGCACAATCTCGGCTCACTACAAAGTCCACCTCCCGGGTTCAAGTGATCTTGCCTCTGCCTCCCAAGTAGCTGGGACTACAGGCACGTGCCACCACACCTGGCCAATTATTTTAGTTTTAGTAGAGATGGAGTTTTGCCATATTGGCCAGGCTTGTCTCAAACTCCTGACCTCAAGTGATCTGCCCACTTTGGCCTCCCAAAGTGCTGGGAATACAGGCATGAGCCATGGTGTCCAACCTATGATTGCTTCTAGCAGTGTTTTATAGTTCTCCTTGTAGAGATCTTTCAACTCCTTGGTTTCATGTATTCCTAGGTAATTTATTTTGGGGGACGCTATTGTAAATGAGGTTCTATTCTTAATTTGGCTCTCAGATTAAACCTTATCAATATATGAAAATGCTACTGATTTTTGTTTGTTAATTTTTGTATCCTGATGTCCTGAAAACTTACTGAAGTTGTTTTCAGTTCCCAGATCATTTGGGCAGTCTTTAAGGGTTTCTTTGTATAGAATCATTGTCATGGAGCATAGTGGCTCATGCTTATATTCCCAGTGCTTTGGGAGGCTAAGGCAAGAAGATCACTTGAGCCTAGGAGTTCAAGACCAGTCTGGGCAACATTCAGAGACCCTGTCTCTACAAAGCAAACAACAACAACAAAATAAAAATAAAAAATACTACCCAGGTATGGTGGTGTGCATCTGTGGTCTCAGCTACATAAGAAGCTCAGGTATGAGGATCACTTGAGCCCAGAGGTTGAGGCTGCAATAGGCCATGATTGTGCCACTGCATTCCAGAGTGAGTGACACAACAAGACCCACTTTGGGGGAATTACAAAATACATTTTATATATATTCAATCATATTGTCATATTGTCCACAGAGATAGTTTTACTTCCTCTTTTCCTATTTGGATGCCCTTTATTTCCTTCTCTCGGCTGATTGCTCTAGCTAGGACTTCCAGTACTATGTTGACTAGGAGTGGTGAGAGTAGGCATCCTTGTCTTCTGCCAGCTCTCAAAGGGAATGCTTCCAGTGTTTGCTCATTATGACATTGCCTATGGATTTGTCATTGATGGCTCTTATTTTGAGGTATGTTCCATCGATGCCTAGTCTCTTGAGGGTTTTTGTCACAAAGGGATGTTGGATTTTAATGAAAGATTTTTCTGTGTCTATTGAGATGATCATACGGTTTTTTGCTTTTCATTATGTTTATGTGGGGAATCATATTTATTGACTTGCGTGTGTCGAGCCAACTTTGCTCCCAGGAATGAAGCCTACCTGATCATGGTGAATTAACTTTTTGATTTGCTGTTGGATTCAGTTTCCTATTATTTTTGAAGATTTTTGCATCTGTGTTCATCAGGGATATTGGCCTGCAGTTTTCCTTTTTCATTGCCAATACCATTTATTGAAGAGACTGTCCTTTCTCCATTGGGTGTTCTTGGTACCTTTTTTTTTTTTAACAAATTTCAATTGACCTTAAATGTGAGGGTTTATTTCTGGGCTTTGTGTCCCATTCCACTGGACAATGTATCTTTATTTATGTCAATACAATGCTGTTTTTTTTGTTTGTTTTGGTTTGTCTGTGGGGATAAAAATACAAGAACCATGATGTTTTGATTACTATAGTTTTGTGATGTATTTTAAAATCTGGTAATGTGATGCCTCTAAAAAAATGTGGTCATATTCTTCTTGCTCAAGATGGCTTTGGCTATCTGGGGTCTTTCTACACTCTGTGTGCTTTTTTGTTTTTTGTTTATAACATTCTGCTGCTGAACAGAGATACTCTGTTTTAATTGGTGTATTAGCTTCTTTTCTTTTAGCTTTTGAAAAATGTGTGCCTCTTCCTTCTGGCTTCCATGATGTCTGATGAGAAATCCATTGTCATTCAAATCTTTGTATCTCTCTAGATAATGTGTCAATTTGTTCTGGCCGACTACAACTACAAGTTATTTCTGTGTTTTTAATTCTCAGAAACTCGATTAGCATATGCCTGGTGTGAAATTATTTCTTTGAGTTTAACGTGTTTGGATTTGATTAACTTTTTGATTCTATAGGTTTACAAATCTGGGGACATTTTCAGCATCTCTGCATCTGGAGTGTCAGTGGCATGATCTTGGCTCACTGCAATCTCCACCTCCTGGGTTCAAGTGAATCTCTTGCCTCAGCCTCCCAAGTAGTGGGACTATAGGCATGCACCACCAGGCTCAGCTAATCTCTGTATTTTTAGTAGAGACGGGGTTTTGCCATGTTGCCCACGGTGGTCTCCAACTCCTGACCTCAGGTAATCCAGGAACCGGGAGGGGTCCAGGACTCCCAATGTGCTGGGATTAGAGGTGTAAACCACCACACCTGGCCTAGGGTATCATTTCTACTTACCTCAGGGCACTGGGGCAGATGGTCAAGAAGACTCCAACCTAGTGTCTTCAGGGCCTGGTGGGGAGGGGAAGAAATGACACCTTTACTTGAGTTAGTACAAGATAGGGTTGTTCAAAGGGTACCAACCCTACAGTTTCTGGACTTCTGGTGGAGGGGGTAAAAGTATCACTTCACCAGGCATGGTGGCACATGCCTGTAGTCCCAGCTACTCGGGAGGTTGATGGTAGAGAATCCCTTGAGTTCTGGAGATCTGCGCTGTAGTGTGCTATTCCAATAAGGTGTCCACACTTAGTTCATCATCAATATGGTAACCTCCTTGGAGCCGGGACCTCCATGTTGCCTAAGGAGGGGTGAACTGGCTCGGGTGGGAAATGGAGCAGGTCAAAACTGTCATGCTGATCAGTAGTGGGATCATGCCTGTGAACAGCCACTGCACTCCAGCCTGGGCAATATAGTGAGACTTTGCTTCTCCAGCCTGCACTCCAGCCTGGGCAATATAGTGAGACTTTAAAAAAAAAGTGTCAGTTCATTAATACAGAATGAGAATCAGCAACAGAACTATGTCCCCACCATGTCCTCATCACACAGTGGGTGGGTAAGCATGGTTTCCTTTGTGATATTCAACTGGAGTAGAGCAGATATACTCAAAAGACAGCAGAATTCTATTTTACAATAAAATCCCAGAGCTGGGCACAATGGCCTTCCAGCTGTAATCCCAGCACTTTGGAAGGCTGAGGCAGGCAGACTGCTTGAGTTCAGGAGTTTGAGACCAGCCTGGGCAACATGCTGAGACCCCATCTTGACAAGAAAATATTTTTTAAAATTAGCTGGTCATGGTGGCGTGCACCTGTAGTCCCAACTACTTGGGGGTCTGATTTGAAAGAATGATTTGAACCCAGAAGATGGAGGTTGCAATGAATTGACTTGGTGCCACTGCATTCTAGCCTGGGTGACACAGCGAGGCCATGTTTTCTTTTTTTTTTTTAAATCCTCTAAGTCATCATTAACCAGATAATCTATCAAATCCGATACTTCTGGCAATAATATTTGAGAGAAGCTTGCGATTGCTATTCCTGCAAATAATAATCAGTGTAACTTTCCCTGCTTTGCGTAGTTATTCAAAACCAAATCTAAGAGCACAAAGGAACAATTAATTTGGAAAGAATATTGATATCTTAGTCAAGTTCTAACTCAGTATCAACAATGGATGCACCTGCTTTCTCTTTTGTTCTACTGATGATATTATTTTTCCATTGGCAGGTTTATCTCCTGTGTGAAGTGTGACAATGCAAGCATAGTACTTAAGGCGACAAATATAAGTGAATCCAGCATTCTGGTGATGTATTCTCTGAATATGTAATACGGAAACTAACAAAATTGACTTTGCATCATCTCCTGTAATATAGTAAAGAGAATTCTGTTTGCAAGCCCGGAATGATTATTTTAGTGAAATTTAGATGTTGTGGCCTGAAGTGGTGGCACATGCCTGTAGTCCCTGCTACTTGGGAGGCTGAGGTGGGAGGATCCCTGAGCCCAGGAGTTTGAGGCTGCAGGGAACTGTGACTGGGCCATTGCACTCCAGCCCGGGCAACAGAGTGAGACCCTGTCTCAGAACAAAATGATTATTAAAGAAGAATAAAAGTAGTCATACGACATGGCTGAAGAGATCTGGTTAAGCCGTTTTCTTGATTTTTTAAGATAACAGACTCTATACGGCAATACATGGGCAGTGGAGACCAAGGTAGAAGATGAGACAGAGGGAGAAATCTGTAGAATCATGTATGAAGAATGGCACTTGCCAAAGGGGACAGGAATAAGTAGGACCCCACAAAGATCTGCAATTCCCAGACGACTTAGGTTAAAGGGGGGTAAAATGGAGTTGCTGTTGGGCTTTCATTTTCCAGAAACATGGGGCCCCAGAGCAAAGCATGCACAGCACCTCTGCGTTGTTCAAAACTACAAACACAAAACAAAACTAAAAAATCCATGGCCAGGTGGCTGGAATAGAATAGAAACTGCCACAATTGGAGAATGGAAAAAAACTGAACAAATGCTCATGTTAATGTCTTATTTCATAGAATTCCAAAGACTACATGATGGAATACAGGCCTCTACCAAATTGGTGGTGAGATCAGAAATGTACAAGATCCGGGACCCTCAGAAAAGTAATATTCCTTGTAGGTAAACTGAGGGGAAATCTATTCATTAGAGAAGGGTGATGGAGACAGCTGCCTCCCTCAGCTTCAGAGATGGCTGAAAGCAACACACAGAAACAATTATCTTCAGAGAATTCCTAATCACAACAGAACTCACACTGTGGTTTATATCAGTCAGGGTTCCGGGATGATGACGACATAACATACAAATTAAGGTAATTTGAAGAAGGTTTAATAAAAGGACTGTTATAATTTGGGGCACAGTTTGTTTTACTTTTTAAGTAGACGAATTGGCTCTGTTGAGTCTGTGCCTCCAAGATGACAAAAGAAAGAACGAGGGTCGTGCCTACAAGGGCCGCAGCCACATGCAGCCTAGTCACTGAATGACCAGTGCCCGATGGGTGCCCAAGGACAAGGCCATTAAGAAATTCGTCATTGGAAACCTAGCGGGGGCCGCAGCAGTCAGGGACATTTCCGAAGTGAGCGTCTTCGATGCCTGTGTGCTTCCCAAGTTGTATGTGAAGCTCCATTACTGTGTGAGTTGAGCAATTCACAGCAAAGTCGTCAGGAATCCATCTCATGAGGGCCACAGCACCGAACACCCCCACCCCGATTTAGACCCGTGGGTGCTGCCCCACGACCCTCACCAAAGCCCATGTAAGCAGCTGAGTCCTTCAAGACTGCAGACAGACCAGTCTCCAATAAAAATAAAATGGAAATGTAGGTTATGATTATGATTACTATTTTTTTTTTTTTTTTTTTGAGATGGAGTTTTGCTCTTGTTGCCTAGGCTGGAGTACAGTGGCACAATCTTGGCTCACTACAACCTCCACCTCCCAGGTTCAAGCGATTCTCCTACCTCAGCCTTCCGAGTAGCTGGGATTACAGGTATGCACCACCATGCCTAGCTAACTTTGTTTTTTAAGTAGAGACAGGGTTTCACCATGTTGGACAGGCTGGTTTCTAACTCCTGACCTCAAGTGATCCACCCGCCTTGGCCTCCCAAAGTGCTGAGATTACAGGCGTGAGCCACCACACCCAGTAGATTACTTCTTTTTTTTTTTTTTTTTTTTTTTGCGACAGAGTTTTGCTCTTGTTACCCAGGCTGGAGTGCAATGGCGTGATCTTGGCTCACCGCAACTTCCACCTCCTGGGTTCAGGCAATTCTCCTGCCTCAGCCTCCTGAGTAGCTGGGATTACAGGCATGCGCCGCCATGCCCAGCTAATTTTTTTTGTATTTTTAGTAGAGACGGGGTTTCACCATGTTGACCAGGATGGTCTCCATCTCTTGACCTCGTGATCCACCCGCCTCGGCCTCCCAGAGTTCTGGGATTACAGGTGTGAGCCACTGCGCTCGGCCCTACTTCTTATTCTTAAAGAGATAGAGGCAAGATCTCACTAGGTTACCCAGGCTGGCTTCCAACTCCTGGGCTCAAGCCATCCTGTCTCAGCCTGCCAAAGTGCTGGCCACAATTACAAAACAATCTCAGACCATGGGATCGATTGTTATAAATGAGCCAAAGATGGCCTCCAGGTATTGACTCCTGGATTGTTTATTTCTTTGATTCAGGCTGAGACCCACTAGCTTAAGATCTTTCTGGGGCCAAACTCAAATTTTTACCTACCTAATTTTTTTTTTTTTAATTTGAGATGGAGCCTCTTTGTGACAACACAAATTGGAAAAAAAAAAAAGAGAGATGGAGTCTCACTCTGTCGCCAGGCTGGAGTGCCATGGCGCGATCTGGGCTCACTGCAACCTCCGCCTTCAGGGCTCAGGCGGTTCTCCTGCCTCAGCCTCCCAAGTAGTCGGGACTACAGGGATGCACCACCCCCTCAGCTAATTTTTGTATTTTTAGTAGAGACAGGGCTCCACCATGTTGGCCTTGTTGGTCTCTATCTCCTGAACTTGTAATTTGCCCGCCTCAGCCTCCCAAAGGGCTGAGATTATAGGTGGGGGCCACCACGCCAGGCCCTCCTAATTATTTTTTAAATGGCCCAAGCAAGCAGAGATTTAGTTATTTAGAGCCTGCCTGCCTTGCATGCCATCTCCCATCCTGCCCCTCCCCCTCAGACCTCATCTGACAGCTATTATTGCCCTTTGGTAAGATAGTGCCTTGTGGTTAGAACAACTCAGGCTGCTACAGCCATTCAGAGCTCCCCCACCCAGAGATTCCCATCTGCTCCCACGCCCCTGCTGCTGAGCAGCATCACCTAGACACAGAGGTCTCCACTCCTGGCTCCTCTCCAAGTGTTCCCTGCTCTCCTCCCCTTCTGTATGGTGGCCTCTGCACCTTCAAGCCTCTAGATGGTCTCATGCTATGGGGAACGTCCCTCTCATACAGCCCTGTCCAAGCCCCACTCGGTACAGTTTGCTCTGTGTAACTGCCTCCCATGGTCACCTCTTTTTCTTTCATCAGCTCCCAGATCCCTCAAACCCTTACAGATCTGTATCCCAAATACATAAAGAGCTCTAAAAATTTGGCCGGGTGTGGTGGCCCATGCCTGTAATCCCAGCTATTGGGGAGGCTGAGGCAGGAGACTGGCTTGAACCTGGGAGGTGGAGGTTGTGGTGAGCCAATCACACCATTGCACTCCAGCCTAGGCAACAAGAGTGAAACTCCATCTCAAAAAAAAATTTTTTTTTTTTGCAGAGAAATAAAAATCATAGTTGAAATGTCTAACCAGGGGAAAGATAACATACTCAAAATTTTGAAATAGTGTGTTGTACACATAGGGATATTCCACTCTGGTATTACAAGGTAACTACATAAATGAATTATTGGAAAATAACAAGTAATTGAATCTGTGAAACGTCACCCAATTCCATTTATTTCCCTACAAGGCAGGTTATGGGAGAAAGTCACAAATTAATGGTCAGTGGACGTTTAAAATAGTCCTAAATAAAGTATCATTGAAAGCATAGTGAGAGCTTTTATAAAAGTAATAATAGTTTATTGCAGATAATATGTAAAAATATGCAGAAATTTTTTCATTTTAAACATTTATAATTCCATCTTATAAAGTGAGCATTTAGCCTTCTGATGTAATTTATTATACTTTTTCATGTATATTTAAAATAAACATGTAAAATATTTAAATGGAAGAAATGACACTACATTAACAAGTAAAAAGCTTTGTGATGAAATGATTCTAACATCTGGATAGGCTGGGTGTGGTGGCTCATGTCTGTAATTCCAGCACTTTGGGAGGCCAAGGTGGGCAGATCACGAGGTCAAGAGATTGAGACCATCCTGGTCAACATGGTGAAACCCCGTCTCTACTAAAAAATATGAAAATTAGCTGGGCATGATGGCAGGTGCCCACGGTCGGTCCCAGCTCAGGAGGCTGAGGCGGAAGAATTGCTTGAACCCAGGAGGCAGAGGTTGCAGTGAGCTGAGATTATGCCACTGCACTCCAACCTGGCGACAGAGCAAGACTCCATCTCAAAATAAATAAAAATAAATAAAAATAAAAAACATCAGGATAATCTTCCATCATATGCCTAAATTATTAAATAATTTATGTTATTGACAAATTGTTTTCTCAACTAGAAATTCTGTCATGAAGAATATTTTAAGGTTTTTGGGGTTTTTTTGTTTGTTTGTTTTTTTGTGGGGGACAGTGTCTCACTCCGTCGCCCAGAGTGGAGTGCAGTGGCGAGATCTCGGCTCACTGCAACCTCCACCTCCCAGGCTCAAAGAATTCTCCTGCCTCAACCTCCTGAGTAGCTAGTATTACAGGCATTCACTACCACATCCGGCTAATTTTTTTGTATTTTTAATAGAGACAGGGTTTCACCATGTTAGGCTGGTCTTGAACTCCTGACCTCAGGTGATCCACCCGCCTCAGCCTCCCAAAGTGCTGGGATTATAGGTATGAGCCACTGCACCTGATCTAAGGTGAATTATTAATAGCAATTGTTAATTCTTTTCTAGAAAATATTTACCAAAATGAAACCCTGTCTTGATATTTGGGAGTATTTAATCCCAAATTCACCCAAATTAAACACAATGATTTTACTAAACACCAGCCAACTTGGTAAAGATAAAAGCTTGAATATTATATAGTAATTTGGATCCGCTTAACTTTGTGTTAGCTTAAACTTCTAAGGGAAAAAAAGTAGTTTACTATCAAGTGTTCTTCTTACCTGAACATTTCTAAATTATTACTATTTTTAAATACGTAATAATTTTTCTCATTTTATGTTTTGCTGTTCTGTTCATTTTGTAATTTGCTAATTCTAATTTACTAGAGATAATTTATTTTTCCATTTAGCATTTTTCCTGTTAAGATAAAGTTTCTGTCACTATGCAAATTGAGAAAAATATTCTGTAACTGCTGATTATTTAGTTAACATTTAGCTCTATTATTTCTGAAACATATTTTGAAACCCTATGTGAAATAAACAGTTTACAGAAATAAATCTTTATTTCACCCTTATAGCAATTCACTTACACCATATAAAAGCAAGATATGGGCTGGGCGCAGTGGCTCACGCCTATAATCCCAGAACTCTGGGAGGCTGAGGCTGGTGGATCACGAGGTCAAGAGATCGAGACCATCCTGGTCAACATGGTGAAACCCCGTCTCTACTAAAAATACAAAAAAATTAGCTGGGCATGGTGGCACATGCCTGTAGTCCCAGCTACTCGGGAGGCTGAGGCAGGAGAATTGCTTAAACCCAGGAGGCGGAGGTTGCGGTGAGCCGAGATCCTGCCATTGCACTCCAGCCTGGGTAACAAGAGCGAAACTCTATCTCACAAAAAAAAAAAAGAAAGAAAGAAACAAGATATGGGGCCAGAATGGAATAAAATATTTGGAGTGTATTCAACTGAGAATATGCTGATATTTGGAGTATTTCAGGAATTACTGCAAGTCTATGTATAAATACTAGACAAGAAATCAAAAGGGAGATAGACCAGTTTGGGATGGATTACTCATACAGGGGGATTGCTTAGTGGCCCAATGTTTTAGGTAAGCCCATAAAGGAATACACAACTTCATTAGTAAGTATAAAGAAAAAATAAACCGGGGTGCGGTGGCTCATGCCTGTAATCCCAGCACTTTGGGAGGCCGAGGCAGGTGGATCACCTGAAATCTGGAGTTCAAAACCAGCCTGGCCAACATGGTGAAACCCTGTCTCTACTAAAAATACAAAAATTAGCCAGGGTTGGTGGTGTGTGCCTGTAATCCCAGCTACTTGGGAGGCTGAGGCAAGAGAACCTCTTGAACCCAGGAGGCAGAAGTTGCAGTGAGCCAAGATCATGCCATTGCACTCCAGCCTAACCCTCACAATGATGCCAAAGCAGTATCCTCCCAGGCATGGGAGGAAGAGGCAAAAAACCTCTCAGGCTGGATGACAGCCTCCATGGGCTCTCACCACCCTCTACCCTGCTGCTGTGTACCCTTTCCTCCTTGTCCTCCTCTGAGGCCTCAGTTGGGTCACTCTTCACCAGGGTCAGGCATGGAGGGCCTGCTCTTGCCCACAGCCTGTAGAGGTTCTTAGGGTCACTAGGGCCCTTACCCCTCCCATGACAGCTTGCACAGGATGCTCCCCCTGGAAAGGTGGTTAGGGACTCATGTCTTACAGAAGAGGAACCAGAGGTTTGGAAAAGATGACTGTCCCAAGGTGGTCAGTGCCAGGGCCTGGCCAAGGCCCACTTCTCAAGCTCCAAGTCCATGGGGCATTCCACCAGGACATCATTCCTCAGTGAACAGAACCTCCACCCATCCCCAATGCCACACACACACACACACACACACATGCACACAAACACCAAACACACACACACACATATACACCATAAACACACACATACACACGACACACACCAAACACACATATACATATACACCATAAACACACACATACACACGACACACACACATACATACATACACCAAATACACATACACCCCAAACATAAACACACACATACACACGACACACACCAAACACACATATACATACATATACACCATAAACACACACACATGACACAAACATACACATACACCAAATACACATACACCCCAAACATAAACACACACATACACATACACACCAAACATAAACACACAGAGGTTCTTAGGATCACTAGGGCCCTTACCCCTCCCACGACAGCTTGCACAGGATGCTCCCCCTGGAAAGGTGGTTAGGGACTCGCATCTTACAGAAGAGGAACCAGAGGTTTGGAAAAGATGGGCCGTGGCCCAGGTAAACACACACACACACACACGAAACATACACACATACACCAAACATACACACACACACACCAAACACACACATGAGTTCTGCTGCCTCCACTCCAGTCAGCAACCTGGGCTGGGCACAGGCGAGAGGGGCTGTCTCTGTGTGTGTGCTTGGGAGTGCCCTACACATATTTCACTGGGTGTGGGGAACCAGGTACCCTGGCCCCCTCAGCTCTGGATGGGTCTGTGCCTGGCCCTGCTGACTTCTTCCCTGAGATGAAGCTGTGGATACAGCCTGTGGCATGGAGTCTTCCTTGGATCCCTGTTTGCACACCCAGCATCCCACCCAACCTGGAGAGAAGATGAAGAGGCCCAGTCAGCTCCCAAAATTTGGTGTTTCCAAGGTCGTTCAGGTGGACTGTGCAGCACTGCCCAAGTACTGCTAGGGGATGGAGTGTGGTGGAAATTCTGCACACAAGGGGTCTGGGAACCAAGTCTTGCTGTGACCATAACCCTATGGCCTTGAATGACAAAGCACCTGCTAGGTGCCTCCCATGGCAGTAGGTGATCAGGCCGGAGGCACTGTTTGCCCACCAGGCCCTTTCTGCCACTTCTTCACTGCCCAGCAGCCTAGAGGCTATCTCCCATTTGGACTCCCCGGCCCTCAGGCTTTCAGGTGGCTTGGCCAACGGGATGGGCTGACAGGAGTCTGGGCAGTGGGGAGGAGCAAGAGGCCAGGGTAATTATTCCCCCCGCATCCTCCCTCTGAAGCTTCCACCTTTAGCCACAGCCCCACCGACCTGAAGACTACTCTGTCCCTACCCCTGGAGCCCAGGACTGAAAACAGCTGTGCTTCATCACCCCTTGTTGGCTTTCTAGAACCCGAAGCTCTGTAAGTAGTCCCCTGGTTAAACTCTTCCAGCTGCAACTTTCCCGGTGCATGCTGTCAGTTTCCTGCCAGAAGCTGGACTAATCTAGCACTTGACAAATGTTCCTTCATTAAATCCTGCCAGGTTCCAGCTTGGGATCCAGCCGATGACACAGGGTGGCCCCTGCCACATGCCAGAATGTCCCTGTCCTCCTCTCCAGAGGCCCAGTCAGTGAGAGGAGGAACTAGAGTCCAGGTCTCCTGCCTCCCAGAGCAGGGCTCCTGTCACTCCACTCCCTGGGGCTTCTTGGGCCTGAGATCTTGAGACAAGTCCGGTGGTGGAGGAGGTCTTGAGCAAGAGGGGCTTGAATCCTCTCTTCCTGGTGGCACCCATTCACTAGAGCAGCAGGTGTCCCAACAGCACCCACTCACCAGCATGGGTGAAGGGGCCAGGACGGCAGGTTTCCAGGCACCTGCAGCATCAGTGAGCATGCAGCTCCTGGCTTCCCACGGGTGCCACCATCAGCACTCGGGGTCTGTGAGTAACACTGCTTCCCCCTTTGCCAGCTTATAGGTGATGGAGGCTTCTGTAGTCACTCACCGCTGGGTAACTGCTCCCCTTTTTGTCCTTCACACACTTTCATAATCAATCCCCTATATTTAAATTCCTTCTATTGGAAACACCTAGAGTGATTTCTGTTTTTTTTTTTCCTTTTTGAGACAGGGTCTCTTTGCTGCCCAGGCTGGAGTGAAGTGGTGCGATCTCAGCTCACTGAAACCTCCACCTCCCAGGTTCAAACAATTCTCCTGCCTCAGCCTCTTGAGTAGCTGGGACTACAGGCACACACCACCATTCCCGGCTAATTTTTGTATTTTTAGTAGAGATGGGGTTTCACTATATTGGTCAGGTGGTCTCGATCTCTTGACCTCGTGGTCCTCCCTCCTTGGACTCCCAAAGTGCTGTGATTACAGGGGTGAGCCACTACACCTGGCCTTTTTTTTTTTTTTTTTTTTTTGAGGCGGAGTTTCACTCTTGTTACCCAGGCTGGAGTGCAATGGCGCAATCTCGGCTCACCGCAACCTCCGCCTCCTGGGTTCAGGCAATTCTCCTGCCTCAGCCTCCTGAGTAGCTGGGATTACAGGCACGCGCCACCATGCCCAGCTAATTTTTTGTATTTTTAGTAGACACGGGGTTTCACCATGTTGACCAGGATGGTCTCGATCTCTTGACCTCGTGATCCACCCACCTCGGCCTCCCAAAGTGCTGGGATTACAGGCTTGAGCCACCGAGCCCGGCCCTTTTTTTTTTTTTTAAGAGACAGGGTCTCACTGTCACCCAGTCTGGAGTGGAATGGCACAATCTTTCACTGCAGCCTCAACCTTCTGGGCTCCAGCAATCCTCCCATGTCAGCTTCCCAAACAGCTGAGACTACAGGTGTGTGCCACCATGCCAAGCAAACTTTTTAAAGTTTTTTGTAAAAATGGGGTCTGGCCATATTGCCCAGGCTTGCAATTTATAAGAACTCCAGATGCTCTCATTTGTAGCTGCTTCTGATAAGAAGCAGCTACAAATTCCACACTATGGCCAGAAGATGGCAGCAAAACACCAGCTTCACCCGTTCACCTACAGCCTAGGACACCAGCCCAGGTTTCCAAAATCTGAGCTTCACATTCCTATACCTGCAGAAGTACTCTCCATGGCCACCTGGACAACCGGCAAACCATTCTATTTCCTTACACGTGCACATATCATCCATAACCCAAACTCTTATCAATAAAACTCCAATTTCACAACCAGGGCATAAATTCTCTATCAAACATCATGGTGATATCCTTATCTTCGATTTTTGGTAAACATTTGGAATTGGATAAAGTATCATTCCTAAGTAAGACAGAACACTTTTAAAGAGAGATCCATAAAATATCGCCAGTCAGCTGACCTAGGCGGTTTGAGTGTATTTGTTCCTTGATGTGCCATCCTAAGGGAACCTGGTGGGGGAGACCCTTGCATCAGCAGCCATTGATGCTCAGCAGAGCAGCCTAACACAGCCAGGTTCCCTGTATCTCCCAGCTCCGCCCAGAGCCACCTGTTGGCACTGGCCAGTGGGATCCAGAGTCCTGACCATTTGCAAGGTTTCAGGCTGCTTCTAAGAATTCCAACACTCATTGGCATACATTCAGCTGTTATCTTAATTAGCACATGATTCTTTCAGTATCAGAAAATTAGTAAAAACACAGAACTCCTGGATCATCTAACCATTTGGACAATTACTCCAATTTTGAAGTTGGTGAAAGAGCTTTTAAATAAAGCAAATCACTCCATAAACGCTTAAGGAGTGCTGGGTGGTAATGAGAAA